ATGTATTTGCTGACAAATATACACCTTGCTAAGAACTTAAAACCATCTCAGTTGCTGCTTTAGGTGCCTCCAGTAGCTAGAGCATTCTCAAAAGTATTTTGTAGACAACCTTTGTGGATCATGAAATCTGTACCAAATGACATGATAAAGGACATATCCCTCGGAATCTAAATGTCAATCCCATGGTGGCACTAAAGGAAGAGCCAGGGGACAAATCAGTAGTCTACATCCCATAGGGACAGGGCTATCCATTCAACAGTTGTCAGTGTTTCAGGCTGGACAGAAAGACTTCCTCCTGCCTAGTGCTGTATGACGTATGAAGTAGATCAATTACACTACCATAATTCTTTACGTTTTCCCACAGAGACGACAGTCAATGATATATCTTTAAAATCAGCTTTATCAAATTTGCCATTACGAGTACAAGGAATGTTGCCGAAATAGACATATAGTCCAGCAAATATGTGAAAGAATTGTGCTTTTGATTAAACCTACCATTACAATTATAGACTGTTCATTTATTTGTAAGTGGGCAAACTTACAACATCTGCAAGGGATCAAATACTTATTTCCTCGCGCCTGGTTGAACCGAAAAAGCCCATCAAAGATCCCATTAAAAGGAAAAACCTCCCTCTATTCAGCCAGCCTCCAGTCCAAGATAAACAGGTCCCAACAACAGCTTTCATCTCTGATGAATGACTGTTCTCTGTTCTCTAGGCTGTACATTGTATCTGAGATACGTGATGGAAGTCTGGATGAGTTTTTTGGGATTAATTACGTGAAATATAATAAACTTGAAAACCAGGCCTGTCCATCATCATTGTCACAAATGGGCAAACTCAGAACTGTATGACTTCACCATAATAAATATGTTAATGGTTTACTGTGTATTTTGTTCCCTGAATACCAGATACATATAGTTAGCTACATTCTAGCATGTTGTAAATAGTACCAATGCATTCCCCATCCTTGAAAATGTAGGATTAGCCACCAGAATCAAGATCCTAGGTGGTCTAGATCCTAAACTACTGGTAAAATAACAACCAATGGCGCCATTGGACAAATTTGCGATGGCCCTATAGCCAAAAATCTTCCTTAGGGCATGCTCTAACAGTGTGCCAAATTTCATGCTTTTATCATCAAAAGCACAATTCTTTCACATATCTGCTGGACTAGACCACTGATTGGTCAGAGAGAATCGTCACTAATGCGACACAGGACATCCTGCACAAACCCGTAGTGATATCATGCTTTTATTGACTTGACTATAGCAGAGGGTAAAACTTAACCCCAAAGAAAGTGCTTTTTTCTGAGTTTTCAAACTCAATGGTTTGTTTAAAACCTGGCTGATTAACCGACCACTTCTTTCTCTCTGCAAACTCAAACTTCATTGTCGAGGACCAAGCACCCTGTAATTACAACACAATATTGTCATAACGGATAGAAATAATGGTAAAAAACAAAGACAAAAAGAGCCAGGTTGTAATCGACGGATTGCTCCTTTAAGTCAGTGACTCATACACACATTTTAAACCGCGAACCACAGTGATCGCTATCGAGAGTATCTAATGTATACCTGTTGATTCATCAAGACAGCCATATATTATTAATGTGCTAACTATCCTGTATGACTCAGCAACATAATTGTAGATGTGAAATATTAGCTGAATGGAGGCTGATAATGGATGAGGGGGATACAAGAGGCAAAGGACTGCTTCTGAATGACGTTGTCAGTAGGAAGTGATTCACACATAAGGTCATAGCCTTTTCACTCCACTGAATTCATCTTCTCATCTCCAGCAGAAGTAAATGCATTACTGAGGCTGCAGTTTCTGAAAAATGTCCTCAGGAGGCGCTGTGAGTCAGGGCTTTTGGACTTATCTGCAGTCTCTTCATTGACATTTAATGATAATTATAACTTGGGTCACACCAGGGGCAGATGCACACAAACTCACTAATGCCACACACACACACACACACACACACACACACACACACACACACACACACACACACACACACACTGCCTGGTTAAAAACACGAAGACATTAGCGGTAACGTGATGCTGAGTGAGTATTGATCTACTCTCAGGGGGCTTAGAGAGTGAGAGAACACTAGACAGCACTTTATCACAGCACTTGACCATCTATGCTGGCCAGTGTGTGACTGTGTGTGTGTGTGTGTGTGTGTGTGTGTGTGTGTGTGTGTGTGTGTGTGTGTGTGTGTGTGTTAGAGAGCAGACCATGAAGCTTTAACAAACTATGTTTTTTTGTAGAGATACCCTGCAGAACATACTAATAGGATCTTAACTGTCAAACTGATCTTCGAAATCCAGTCTCATTTTAGTCATACAAAATCAAAAATTGTACCCAATTCATTGCTAAAAAGAGAACTTCCTTTTCCTTCCTTTATTTACTCATTTCCTCATTCCTTCTTTCACCAACTATTCCAATATCCTCCTGTGAGGTCCTGACTGACACATTCAATCTGTATCTATAACATTATACAGACCAGACTGAGTAGTAATCAGGCCTGTGTGTGTGTGTGTGTGTGTGTGTGTGTGTGTGTGTGTGTGTGTGTGTGTGTGTGTGTGTGTGTGTGTGTGTGTGTGTTTGTGTGTCTGTGCAAGCGTGCATGCCTGTGTGTGTTACATGCCTGTGTGTGTGTGTGTGTGTGTGTGTCTGTGTGCGTGCGTGCGTATCTGTGTGTGTGTGTGAGACCAGTAGGGATTTCATAATTATGATTGCTGAGGACACGTGCTGCTCAAATTCTTCAATGATTGCCTCTAAACGAAACATAAATGCCAAACAAAACAATAAACCCTTCGAGAAAGAGAGAGAGAGAGAGAGAGAGAGAGAGAGAGAGAGAGAAATGACAACATCATATACTTGGAGTCTGTTTCTTGAAGATATCCAGACCACAATAACATGAGCAAAAAGGGACCAAAAGGGACCTGAAAACAAGGAGCAGATGGAAAAACAACCACATAAAAGTGCAAGTGTGCCTTCATGCGTGTGTTCTTGTATTTAAACATTATACACTGCACTCATTAAGGCGATGATTGTCTCATTTTTCATTACGTTTTATGATCGTTTTCACACAGGTATCCTCTCCTCAGCTTTCGATCTATGTTTCAAAGTTTTTCCTCATCCCTGACACTTTGTCTTCTCCTCAGAAGCCAAGCCAAGTCAAACTATAGCTGCTCGTCCAGACAGACAGTCACTGTATGTCTTTTGTGTCAAACCCTCGGGCCATTGGCACATCTCTCTGTTTGTCTCTCTGGTAAAATGTGTCTCTTTTTTTTATATCCGTTGCTGTTTTGGCTACGCTTCAGAGTCATAAAGTCTCTCAGATCCTCGGGAGATGATTCACCTTTGAACTCTCCATTCTGTTTCATTCATTTCCAGTGTCTTTATCTCTAACATGATGATGAGCAGCACACTCTCATAAAGTACCTATATACGCAAATGAATATGTACCCACAGTACAAACAAACAAAAGGCTTTGCTTTGTCGTTTAGCTTCATTTAAGCACTGATGTTAACTGTGATTGATTCTCTTTTTAATGCTTTAGGACAAAAGTGATTTCCATAAGGTTACAAAAATAATGTCGGGCACTTTGAAAATCCTCAGATTAATGTGTTTATTTCATACGATTAGTAGAAAAACAGTACTTTCAGTAAAAATAACATCTGATGTATACTCAGTGGCTTCTTGGTGCTCTCTGGTCAACACTGAATGATTGAGCGTTCAAAAGGGGATTTTCGGGAAAGAAAGAAAAAGTTGGATACTCTGGTACGCCGTCATTCCTTTGAGTTAAAGTAATGGTTTGTTCAGGAAGAAAGATGATTTGTAGAGAGAAAACTAAAATAAATAAATAAAAACTGCAAATTCAAAAATGAGAAATCTGCAATATTATTGCTCAGCTACTTTGAAGTTAGCACTTAGGGATACATTTTATTCACATGCATGCCATGCGGCCACATTCCATTACGTTTGGGCAATACATTGAAATGTCCAGTTTTGAACTTTAAAATGAATAGTTCACTTTCAATAATTCAATGAATGGACGAGTTGTCATTCAAGCTGACACTTATGTCTTCATTCTTTGATGACAGGATTTTCAAAGTTATCTTAAACTGGGGGAAAAATATCTAAATGAGTTAAAATGTTTTGTCAGACAGTCCCTTAACCCCAACCTTCATTAGCCAAGAACAAACTGGACTGAGAAAACTATGCAGAGGAATACAAATTGAATGAGAGACACTCGTACATGGCTTTCTTCCTCAGCGTGTTTTCTTCTCTCAAACCTTTTTTTCTCTTTTAATTTGGCCCCTCTGTTTGTTTTTCTTCATTCTTTCATTAGTTGAAAAAACATTGCAGGCATTCCAGCTGTAACACCACTGAGATTCAGTATCAGTGCGGGGACTCAGACGTGTGTGTGTGTGTGTCAGCGACAAACCGAGAGAGAGATGGTATTACACTAGAGATTGTAGGTGTTGCCTGATTATGATTCATCCCTGTGTGCATGTAGGCAAACGTATCAGCCACAGAGGGGCATTAAGCGAATACTAGAGATTTTGAATGAAGACACTCGAGGCATTTGTTTTTTTGGATTCTTTATTTCAAGCCAAGCAAGCCATGTTACTGCAGGGACAAGTCAAATATGTATTGATATTGAAGCACATTAAGTCTATTTCCTTTATTAAGCCCTAATCACAAATCTCCCTCAAACATGTTCAAATAACAGCATTACCCAAAAACAATAGAACTTTATTAAAACAGTAAGATTTTATTAATCTTAGTCTGATCACATATTTACATGATTTAACTCTGAAAGTCTGTTTAAAAGAAGCTGATTTATACAATCTCTACAGTGGATTTATCCTGAAATAAAAAATGTGAGTGCTCAGTAGTCTTTTTTTTATAATAATTTTTTTATTGCAACATCTTCAATTTACAACACAGTACAGAAGACAATTCAGGTTGCACAANTTTATTCAGATTTGAAAACAAAATTTAACAAAATTGAAAATCCTGGAAAAAGGAACATAGACCAGATTAAAACTACGCTAAAGAACAGGGTCTTTAACTGGGTATTATAATGGGAATTATATCATCAAGAAGCTGATACAATCTTAACAGTGGATTTATCCTGAAATGAAACAAAATATTTTTAAGATTATTTCAAAACCTACAGATTCATACTCAACCTAACCTCTATCAACCGATATATTCTTGAAAAAAATAAAGCATTATATTAAATTTCCAGTGATTTAGTTTAGATCTAGTTTAATACAAAACAACTTTTAGACCCTGGTATGTGTCATCCTGGATCCTACATTTCCCATAATGCAACTCATTATAATCTTTCATTTGAGCCTCCCTTCCTCCTAAATGCTCATATCTTTTAAACGCCACTTTCAAAGATCTTTCAGAGCCACCAAATACCATATACACTCCGTTTTTTTACAAGCTGTTTAGTACTTCTCAGGATGAGTAAACCAAACTTCAAGTGTAAAGTCAGTCGGGTGCCCCTTTAAATCTGAGTAAACTAAGAGCAAACAGGGATAGCATGCATGATGTCTTACAATGGTGAGGTTAACATGTTTTTGGTTACTAACATCAAACAGCTGTCAAAACGTTACAGGGACAGCCAAAGATTTACCCAAATATATTGAAAACTGACAAATTAAAACCTTAAAACATACATTTAAAAAGAAAATAATAAAAAATAGACACTAATAAAAACTAATATCCCTAATTTGGCCATAACAGTTTGCTATGTTAGTTCATTTCGCAAATACTTAAGGCCTCATCCTGTTGTTTGACCTCTGCAATAATGCAGAATGTTTAATTGGGTCGTCTTTGCACAACTGACCATTCAGATGGAAGGATTTTTACATTATCCTGAAAATACGGAAAGACCGTTCCTGTGAAAGTGTATTTGATAGTGTGGACAGGTTTTTTCCTGTCAAGGTCAAAAAATGCTAATATTCCATGGTCACAATCAAGCTGCACTCTGACTCTTTTGGGAAATGAATCTTCAGATACAACTTTCACATAATCGTCTGGAGTAAGTTCACGCAGGATGCCAGTGCAAGCGCACATGTAAATGGCCCAGATCTTTCTATGGAGGTTATCCTTAACAGCCACACCAACAGCCCAATAACCTTCTACCTCCACATCCCAGCTGTGTTTTCCACGGCTAAAGCCTTCAGAGCCAAGAACGTTAAAGCTGCTCAGCCTTTCTGGGTTTTTAGGAAGGGTCTGACACTTGTCTATTGTTGTTGAACGAGTCATGTGTTCGGATATAATAAGCAAGCTGCCGCCAGTGTTGGGGTCCAGAGTAACTGGAGCTTCAGGGAAAAGCAAATATAAAAAAAGGGGGATATTAATTGTGACGTTTATTAAATGAAAGGTAAATGTTCTCTTAAAGGCATTGCAGTGTATTCATTGAAAAGCCAGGTGTTGCTTTCCTGATAAAATTAACAGTATCTTGACATGCCTTTGCAGTTTAAAATGTAAAATATAACAAAGCAAAAACACTTTGCTTACTGTGTTGGAGGATGTCCTTCATCTTCTTCCAGACTGTGAATAACAGGTTCCCAGTGTGTTTGGCCTCATCAAGAAGGGCTCCTAATGGAGTCTCAGGGTCTGGTAGGTTGAACTGGGATCTGAAGGAATAAAGTTATTGTTGCATGTTTAAGTTATAAGTCATCAATTTCATCATAGGAAACCCATTCTTTGGAATTGTTCATGAGTGGTATCTATTCTTCACTAGCTTTCATGGTAACTTCTTTATATAAGAGTTTGCATTGTCAAAATCCGCCATTATCACACAAAACATTTAAACAGTATGATTCACGTTCGAAAATATTTTCAGTTAACTTCCCCTCTTTTGAACCACCCTTAAACTTTTGAATGTCATGTCCATGACTTTCCCCACACCTTGGATTTGATCCTCCCAAACAATCACAAGCTCTGCTGCTAAGGTGGACACTTTAAATGTTTGACAGGAAACCACTTACCGCTCCATAGTGGATTTGACATTCTGTTAAAAAAAGAGAAAACAGGATAGCAAATCAATAATAAGATTATGTTAAATACTCAATATTATGTTCTGAATTTACATTAAGAAAGGTAATCATTAAGTACCAGCATAAATGTCATGTCCTCAGCCTTGATGTCCATCTCTAGGGTTTTGAGTTTGTCTGTTAACGAGGAGATCTCTGCTGTCAAATTTACAATCCTGATGTCCATTGCTTCACTTTTGAGCGCTGCCTCTATCCTCACTGCATCAATCCTAGCAGTCTCCTCCGCCCGCAGGAACTGGTAAAGCTTCTGAAACTCCTCTTTGATCGTCTTCTCCGTCTGCTGAGCCTGGAGCTGAGGAGAAACCATTTTTTTATTTTTTTTATTAAAAGTCAACAACACATGTTGTTTTGCACCTGTAAATTCAATCCAGCATGTCTGTGACTCACCTTGATGTGGTTGGCCATTTTATCACACTTGAGCTTTTCCTCTTTTAATGACCCTTGTTTCGTTTTTAAATTCATCACCTTACGACTGAGGTGAGCCTACAAAAAAAGGGCACATACGTTACCTGACTATTCACTGGGTGAGTTACACAACACATTTGCCTGGTATATGAAATATGAATCATTCTAAATAAAGTGATGAAAACTACAAAACATTTCTACATTGCTTGTATTCTTACCCTGTAGGGTTCAGCTGCCTCGTTGATGGGGATGCAGTTGTGTTTCTTGTGTTTTTGTGAATCCCTACATATGACACAGATGAGCTTTCGGTCATCTTGACAGAAGAGCTTTAGTTTCTCGCTGTGCAGGCTGCAGATCAGATCCTTGGATCCTGATTTAGGTCTCTGACTCTTCTCTTGTCTCAAATTGTCACACAGGTTTCTCAGTGCTAGATTAAGTGGAGGCTGTTCCAATGGAAACAGCCCCTTACATACCGGGCAACTCTGGAGAGCACTCTGTCTCCACCACTCCTGAAGACAGTGCTTACAGAAGCTGTGACCGCACAACAACACAACAGGATCCCTGAAGATATCACAGCAAACAGGGCAGGCAAAGTCCACCTCAGACGGTGAAACATTAGCAGCCATTCTGACTTCTCCTGAGGCTTTCAGAATGTTCACTTACTTTCACTTTCAGAGATTCACTAGTATTTCAAATCTTTAGCTCCAAGTGCTTTCAACCAACACTAAATAAACCAAAAATACCGAGTTAAATCATTAAACCTTCGTTTAACTAGATCTTTTTACAAATACATTACCATGAGCAGTTTTATGTGCCGACTCATTTCACTTATTTCCTTCTTCCTCTCTTCTGAGTAAAAAGGGAGGAGTTTTCACAAAGTGAAGTTGGTTTTATGTTGGATGTTCAACAGCCATTCAGTCAGATCTTGAGGTTCTTCTTCCTCATTTTTATGCAGTTAGAGGGCAGTTAGCTCCTATCCGATTCTGAACCACAGGGTATTTACTAAGGGACCATGAATACATTACTGTTTCAATGGCACAAAGCCTTTGTTATTTTAAATATCTCCATGCTAACTTGCCCATTGCCTACTACTGAAATTAATGATTAGGAGAAATAGTTGAAAAATGTTTAATGAAAAATGTCATTTACTTTCATTTCATGTGATCTATTGATTCCCGATGCATACCAGATATTTAACTATACTGGAAAAATAAGACACATCTTTGTATTGGATTAAAGGGCTCCTTTAATTTATAGAATAGTGTTATTAAAAATGCAGCTGTTATTTGTTGATGATCCAATAAAAAGAAGCGTGTCCTACTTGCCCAATGCAGTAAAACAATGCTGTTATGACATTAGGTTTATGAAAGCTATTGGAAAAAAATCTTTAAAAAACTAGTTATCATGAAAAGACTTCTCAAGCAAACATTAAATTGTTCATGATAATATTAATTTTAAATAATGTCCAACAAATCCAATACAAAGAGATGCATCTTAATTTGCCAGTGTAAAAATAATATCTGTTATTGATTTGGAGCCCATTGGTCACATGGAATGGAAGCTATATAAAAGAAAATAAGAATCATCTATTAACTGCTTTTGTAAAATACATGAATGAAACATGAGTAACCACAAAAGATGTGCTTTGCATCATTTTTATTAAGCTTATATGAACAAGTTAGCATGGAGGTTTTGAAAGAACATTGGGTTTGATACCAAACATAAAACCAACTGCACCACGGATCACTTTTAAAAAAATGTTGCAGTGCAATAAATAGAAACATTCATGGCAAAAACAATGCGGAAAGAATATATCCTGGTTATCTGATTATTAATATGATCTGATGAGTCTTTAACAAATTGCAAAATTAATGTAGACCATAATCAACCTTCATGCACATCACTAGTGCAAAGGAGTATTGACATTAAGCTTAAAAAAATACCTTTAAAATGTAACCAATCCTTAAAGCAATAACTTTTTTAAAGTCTAATGTGGGCATTCATCTCTGGCTTTTAATTTTATGAGCTGAGCATTTTTTTCTTCACAAAAGTGCTTTGTGGCAATAAACCTGAGCTGTCTATTAAACATTGTAAACAGGTCAAAAGTTAGCTGGCACTTAAATAATAGGTAAAACAGAAAGTGAACGCAGCCATAATGTCTCAAAACAGCGAGCATCAAACTGTGACTGCAGCAAACAACGACACTATGTGAGTGATAGGAAAAAGTCAGACATCACTTCCTGGTATGCGAGAGAGACTCTCACCACTGAAACATGCAATGCAAGAAGCACAGAACCAACAATTAACTGAGAATTTCAGTTCCTTTACTTTTATTTTTATTTAAAAAAAATTAAAGTGCTCAGTATAGTATTTTTTTTATAATACATTTTTTATTGCAACATCTTCAATTTACAACACAGTACAGAAGACAATTCAGGTTGCACAACATTTTTGGATTAATTACATCCCATCCCTCTACCCTACGCCCACCCCCCAGTTCCTTTACTTTTTAAGAGTGTCCATTTATTCAGATTTGAAAACAAAATTTAACAAAATTGAAAATCCTGGAAAAAGGAACATAGACCAGATTAAAACTACGCTAAAGAGCAGGGTCTGTAACTGGGTATTATAATGGGAATTATATCATCAAGAAGCTGATACAATCTTAACAGTGGATTTATCCTGAAATAAAACAAAACATATTTTAAAGATTATTTCAAAACCTTTCAACAGATTCATACCCAACCTAACCTCTATCAACCTGTATATTCTTAAAGAAAACAATGGATTATATTAAACAGATTTTCCAGTGATTACATTTGGATCTAGTTTAATACAAAACAACTTTTAGACCCTGGTATGTGTGATCCTGGTTCCTACATTTCCCATAATGCAACTCCTTAGCATCTTTCATTTGAGCCTCCCTTTCTCCTAAATGCTCATATTTTTTAAACGCCACTTTCAAAGATCTTTCAGAGCCACCAAATACCATATAGCATACACTCCGTTTTTTTACAAGCTGTTTAGTACTTCTCAGGATGAGTAAACCAAACTTCAAGTGTAAAGGGTTTGTCTTTGCACAACTGACCATTCAGCAGGAAGGATTTTTACGTTTCCCTGAAAATACGGAAAGACCGTTTCTGTGAAAGCGTATTTAAAGATTTTTTCCTGTCAAGGTCAAGAAATGCTAATATTCCATGGTCATAATCATGCTGCACTCTGATTCTTTTGGGAAATGAATCTTCAGATACAACTTTCACATAATCCTCTGGAGTAAGTTCCCTCACCTTGTCAGTGCAACTGGACATGTAAATGCCCCATTTCTTTCCACAGGTGTTATCCTTACAAGTCACAGCAATAACCCAATAACCTTCTACCTCCACATCTCAGCTGTGTTTAACACAGCTAAACATAAGAGCCAAGGACGTCTGAGGCGCTCTTTCTTTCTGGGTTTTCAGGAAGGGTCTGATGCTTGTCCATTGTTGTTGAACGAGTCATGTGATCAGATATAATAACTATGCTGCTGCAGCCAGTGTTGGGGTCCAGAGTAATCGGAGTTTGAGGGGGAAATAAAATATTTATTGTGATGTTCATTATAGTAAAGGTAAATGTTCTACTTAAGGCATTACAGTGTATTCATAGAAAACCTGGAAGTTGCTTTCCTGATAAAAGGAAGTTACCTAAACGTGCATCTGTAGGTTAAAAAGCTTTGCTTACTGTATTGGATGATGTCCTTCATCTTCTTCCAGACTGTGAATAACAGGTTCCCGGTGTGTTTGGACTCGTCGAAAAGGGCTCCTAATGGAGTCTGCAGGGTCTGGTAGGTTGAAGATGGATCTAAAGAAATATAAGAAGCCAAAGATTATCAGTCGAAGTATTTTAAATAACCCATATTGGTACCATTCATATCTGGTGCATAGAAACAAATACATTTATTGTTACATATCTTTAACTTGCAAAAGTTTCATTATATTTTTGGGTTTTGTTTATGACTGGCCATTCAAGCAGTTTAAGAAATGGTTTCAGGTTAACCTCCAAACCTTTTAACAAGCTTCAAACACCCTAAACTTTAGAAAGTCATGCATCCAGGACTTTTCCCCACATAGTGGACGAGATCAGTCCCAAGCTACCATAAGCTATGCCGCTGAAGTGGACACTCTTAAATGTTATATACATAGTTGATGCGAAACAACTTACTGATTCAGAGTGGATTTGACATTCTGTTAAATAAAGAGAAAAAAATAGGAAAACAAATCAATATTAAGATGCTGTTAAATACTCAGTGTTATGTTCTAAATATACATTTAGAAAGGTAATCATTTAGTACCAGCATAAATGTCATGTCATCAACCTTGATCTCCATCTTTAGAGTTTGTAGGTTGTCTGTTAACGAGGAGATATCTGTTGTCAATTCAACAAGCCTTGTGTCCATTGCTTCACTTTTGAGCGCTGCCTCTTTCCTCACTGCAGCAGTCTCCTCTGCTCGCAGGAACTGGTAAAGCTTCTGAGACTCCTCTTTGATCGTCTTCTCCGTCTGCTGAGCCTGGAGCTGAAGAGAAAACATGTGTACTTATGAAAGTCAACAACGCATGTTGCTTTCCCATTGGAGTTTGACTGTGACTTACCTTGACGTGGATTGCCATTTTGTCACATTTGCGTGTGTCATTTTGAAATGTACCTATGCTTGGTTTCTAAATCCATGCTCTGACGATGAAGGAGTCCCAACAAATAAAAGGTGTATGCATTACATATATATTCATATGAAATAATAATTCTAAATAAGTTAAAAAAATCATACCGAACACAAATAATTTATTTGTTATAATGTCATGCATCCAGGACTTTTCCCCACAAAGAATCAATTCACTGTTTGGTTTTGTAAAGATTAAATAATAAATAGAAAATAGTGAGAAATTCCTTCAAAATATGACAAAAAAACTACAAACAATTTATCAAAACAGTTGCAGATAAATGTCCAGTTAATCGATTAATAGAAACAAATTGTGCTGTAATTGTACATGTTCATATGTATTGTGTGATACAAATATATACAGTTGTAAAGTAAAACATTTAAAAGTACAATATTCCCCAACTGAAGTGTGGACTAGAAGTATAAATAAAAAGTTAGAAATGCACAATAAAATACTGGGTAAATATACTAATATCTCACTGCTACTTAACAGTATAAGCTACAGTTAACTGCCTATAACTTTTTGCTAATGTCTTTTCTACAGTATACAGAATTGTGTCCACTAACTTTTCCTTCACTGGTCTATTTATCTGAGATAGTGGTGCGGGGGTGGATTCATGTGAGACTGTTCCTATACTTAAATATTATGTCCATAACCATAAAACATTCAATCCACATAAAGCCAAGTGTTCTGGATCTGGCCACAGTAGCCTCCCCAGGGTGGTGCAGTAAAACAGCCCTGAGCCGCCATTAGGTGGCTGGGAGCTGGAAGAAATACTAGACGGAGGCTGGGACCGAACGAGAGCCAACGCACAGCTGATGGTAAACTAATTTTGTTGGCCTGAACCCCACTGAAAAAAAAAACCACACACTCGTGCAGTACGTGTTGTGTTCACACACACAGCATATGCACAACACACATACTTGTTCTGTATCATGCTTCCACACAAGTAGAGTCTCATAGGACGGTCAATGCGGGACAAAATCACACTCTCTCGCTCACTCCCTCTTTCCATCTCTCCCCTCAACTGCTCTCACACACTTGATCACCATCTCAGCGAGTCAGGCATATGCTCCATCATTTGCCTTGAGGGACAGAAAAGACTGGGAAGGAATTCAGCGAGACATTGTAGCACTTCTCCGCAGACTCTTGGAGAGAAG